GAAAGGATATCTAAGAATGAGATTGTTCCAAAAGATCTGATTTTTTTCTTTCTTTCTTTCTTTCTTTTTTTTTTTTTTTTGCAGGCATACAGAGAAAAGGATGTGTCAGAAGTGAGGCGCTGTCAAAGTCCTTGGTGTATTAGATTTTGTTGCAGTACAGTTTCAAGGCATAGTACAATACCATGGTATGTAACTGGACTGAGTTAAATAACCTTATTTTTTGTGTCTCTCCACATTCCCCCAATCCTGTCTGCTTCTCCAGCCTTTGGTCATTTGCTCCAAGAAGAGGCCTGGCCACCACCGCCTTTACCCCACCCCATGTCAGCCGTTCTCTCTGGAATGAGGGCTGGGATCTCACGCAATGCCTGCTTCACACAGCTTTGGCACAGGGCCCAACCTGAGCAGATCCCCGGAGCCTCTGCCGGCCTTCGCCATATCTGGAGAAGGGCTCCATCATGGGGATCAGGTGACCTTCTGCAGTGGCTGCTTGAGGGGCCGGTGGAAGAGCAGGAGACCTGAGGGGAGGAGGCACAGGTAGGTTGCACTCACCTGCTCTACCCTGCCCCATGTGCTGCTCCACTTGGCTGTGGCCACTCTGCCCTGGGATTACCAAGGGAGTGGTAGGACACAGGACTTGTCTCCTGCTTGGCTCCCTGGGTCGTTTGTTCAACCCTAATTACTGGGCCTGCCTCCAGAGATCTTGATGCTGTCCATCTGGGACAGAGGAAAGATTGGTATTTCTAATCCATTCGTAGGTGATGCTGACGTAACTGGAGCATGCTCTGAGGACCCTATGTTTCAGGCAACCCATGTGAGACGACTGGTCTCCAGAGCAGTCCTGGGAAGCAGAGCAGTGGACGGGATTGGAGCTGACTCCTCCGCCCCCATGAAAAGAACAGGAACCCTACTGTTGGTGACAAGCAGGGTGATAACAGCCCCTGGGCTGATCACTACTTCTGAGTCTTTCAGCTGTGGTTCAAGGGGATGGGGTACAGGCCAATGCAAGCACCTTGCAAGATCAAGCGGCTGCTCTCCTTGACTAGTTCAGGGATGGTGGCAATCAGAATCATGGTGTGGAGCTATGACAGAGATCGTGCCTTTGAAAAAAGAAAATGAAAGGCTTAAAGCAATTAATGGCCCAAACGCATTCTGTTCTGAAATCTAGAAGTCCTCTCCGGCAGCTTAAAGCAGACTCTCTTTTCCCACGGTCAGAGATCACGGACACTGACTGCACTGAGACTCAGGCTGAGGATGTGATTATAATAGCAAGGGACACTAAGCTCACAGGATCCATGAGTTTCCCATGTCAGAGGCAGGATCCTGATAGGGAAAGTGTGGGAGGGAACACTGATCTGGGGTGGAGCACTGGGGCAGAAGGGGTTGTGGGGAGAACCTGAGAATCTTAAAAATGGGATTATACTACTATAGCATGAGGCTTCATTGTGTCCTCACTGTGCCATTTACATCCTCAACCACTCACCTATATGATCCTTTACTTCTCTACCTATGAAAAGAATTTGCATAAATGCTGATCCATTTCTCTCTGGGCTCTACTCTTCACTAGCTGTGTGACTACAGGAAAGTTAATTTCCTCTCGGAATTCCCATTTATCCTCTAAATTTCCTTTTCCTTGAACATCTAGACTACTGCAAAAATGAACAGGGAATTAGTGAAACTTGAATTGTTTGTTCTGTGGCCTTTTGTACAGGCTGATCTAGAGTAGAACCAGAGTACCTATGACTTAACTTTTGCTTATTACCTTCCCTCTTTCCCCCTCTATTCCAACATCCCTCATTTAAATTTGCCCCACCTTTTTTCCCTCTTTAAAAAAAAAACTAATGATGACTGAGTGTAGTGATGCACACTTGTAATCCCAGCAACTCGGAAGGCTGAGGCAGGAGGACTGCAAGTTCAAAGCCTCAGCAACTTAGAGAGGTCCTAAGGAACTTAGCAATACCTATCTCAAAATAAAAAATAAAAAGGGTTGCGGATGAGCAATGGTTAAGCATCCCTGGGTTCCATTTCTGGTACCAATAAAAAAAAAAAAAGAATTGATGTGACTAATAAAGAACTGGGTACAAGACACTGTAGATTTATGGGATATCTTACTGACAAGGGGATGAAGACAATTTTTTTAACGTTTATTCATTTTTCTGACTATTTTGCTGGTTTGTTGATTGTTTAACTGATGGATCCACTCATTCATTCTCCTTTGTCTTTCACAAAATATTCTAATTGTCTCTTACTAGGCAGGAAGGCCCAGTTTGGTGTGGGTGCTGGCAAAGCTCCTACGCTCAACTCGGGTGCCCAAGTGAGACAAGACATGTCATCCTTCTGCCTGGCTGACCTCAGCATATGCTTCACCCCCGCTCCAGCCCACACCCCGGCCCACCCCTGAAGCTCATAAAGACAAAGCACTCCCTGCCACAAAGACCTCTGCCAGTCCCCGTGCGCGTCCTTCCTTCCTTCAGGACCGTCAGTCATGAAGTCCTATGTATTAACAATTGCCATCGCTCTGATCCTCATTCATAAGACGGCAGGTAATTCAAACCTCTTTCTACGCTTTTGGGATCGGCACATAGTATTGTAATTTTGGTGACCTGGTATGAAGCAGCTAAGAAATGTTACCCTCAGATTCGTAGCGTGTCTAAATCTCTTACTGGCTTTGTACTTCCAATATCAAATGAAGCATTTGACACTCCTGGTAGAGTGGTAGAGAGGACTGCATAAAACAATGCAGGGTAGCAATGTCCTTGGGTTGAGAGTTTGGAATATGGGTTAGAAATGAGGAACTGAGCTCAAGTCAAGGATTTTGAGGGTAAATCAGGAATTACTTTGGAGATTAGGGAGTGAATTATGGTGCAGAAAAAAATCTGACTGTTGGGATGGTGTAATGGTAGAAAAACAAACAGGGATGAGCTGGAAAAGGAGGACTGTATTTTGGAATTAGACTGGGCTGATGGTTTGGGAAAGACTGAGTTGGGTTGACATGTGTGGTTGAATGGATCCGGCAGTGAGATTAGGTAGAGATGGGAATTGGCGTAGACACTTTTTGTAGACAGGCTGGATGTTGGGTTGACTCCGGTTGGTGTTGTCCAATGTGGTGGCATTGCCTGAAACCACACCCAGTATCTGGAGACTTTCGGATTTGGTGAAAGAGTCTGCATTTTCCTGTTGCCAGAGACCGGACCTTTAGGATGCTGTTTTTAAGAAGTTATTTCATATTTTTATTTAAAAATATTACTGCATTTGACATCTAGAGTTTTCCAGAATACAAAAGTAAGTTTAAGTATAGAAATATGTTGTCCAGTATGACAGACTGTAGCCATACGTGGCTATTGAGCATTTGAGATGTAAGTATTAGTGTCATATATGTACTGGATTTTGATGATAAAAAGGTTAAAAAGTTGCAGAATATTTCACCAATAATTTTATGTCAATTAATACTGAAATGATATTTTGGATATATTATAATTTGGATATATTATAAGCAAAATTACAGTTAAAATAAAATTCACTAAAAGTAAAACAGTGTCTATAAACCAGTGAAACAGAGACTAGAAAAAAACAATAGAAAAGATCAATGAAAGTAAAAATTGTTTTTTTAAAAATATCAACAAAACATTGTCATAGCTAGACTAACTATGTAAAAAAAGAAGACCCAAATAAATAAAATTAGAAATTAAAGAGGAGATCTTATAACTGATAACCACATAAATGCCAAAGATCAAAAGAGTCTCCTATGAACAATTTATACAGTTACAAATTAGATAGCACAGAATAAATAAATAAATTCTTAGGAATACACATTTATCAAGATTGAACTGTGAAGAAATGGAAAATCTGAAAAGATCCATAATTTACCAAAGGTTTAATGAAAATCTAACACCAGTCCTTCTCAAACTTCTCAAAAACATTGAGAGGAGAGAACACATCCAAACTCATTTTCCAAGACCAGCATTACCATGATATGAAGGCCAATCAGAGACCTCACCCAACAAATAAATAAGTAAACAATATGCCAAAATCAAGTTATCTTGATACAGACATCCTTAACAAAATATTAGAAAACCACACTCAAGTTCAAGAGCACATTAAAAGGACTGTTCACCACAATCAAGAGTCAATTTATCCCAGGGATGCAAACACAGTTCAGCCTACATAAAACTGCACAAGATACACCACATTGACATTATCAAGGACACAAAATACACAATCATCTCAATAGGTCATGCAGAAAAATCGCCTGACAAATGCATCACCCTTTGATTATAAACATGCTCAACAATTCAGTTGTAGAAGCAGTGGGCCTCGACACACTAAGGCAGACATGATAAGCCCCAGCTAGCATCCCACTCAGTAATGAGAAGTTAAACGTGTCTCTTCTAAGATCAGAAACAAGTCAAGGATGACCACTTTCCCCAGAGAACCGGGAGTCCTAGCCAGAGGAAGTAGGCAAGAGCAGGCATCCAGAATTAAAACTGCCCCGGTTTTCAGACAACATGATGTTACGTATAGAAACCCTGAAGACTCCACCAGGAGATTCAGAGCTAATAGACAAATTCACTGGAATGATAGGACACAGAATCAACTTCAGAAAGTCAGTAGTGTTTCTAGACTCTCACAATGAACTTTCCACGAAAAGAAATCAAGCAAACGATCCTATTCAAAGTAGCTCCAAAAAATAAAAATAAAAAAAAAACTGAAATGCTTAGGAATAAGTTTAATCAAAGAGGTGGAAGACCTGTACACTGAGAGCTAAAAACACCCAGGAAAGAACTCGAAAAGGGTTCCAATAAATGGAAATCCATCCTGTGTTCACAGACTGGGAGGATTAATATGTCCAAATGTCCCTATAATCCAAAGAAATCTACAGGTTCAAGACAATCACTATCAAAATTTCAGTCACCTTTTCCACAAAAATAGAAAAAAAATTCCTAAAAATGTCACACCTACTCCTCCTCAGGACCCACAAGCTCCTTTGGTCCAGATGTGCATGTTTGTTTGGTGTTTTTCATGGGGAAATGAGGACACAGAGTTTTCTGGTCCACCAAGAGCTGATGTCACTGCAGAATTCCAAGTTATGTCAGATCAAAAGTGACATCTTACATCACACCCCCAGTAATTTGGGGACCGTTGCAGGAACGTGGTCCCTCGCTGAGTCTCCATTTCTCATTTGAAAAATGGAGGTGATGATAGATTATTGTAAGTTTTCATTGACATTCACATAAAAGTTCTTGGAGCAAGTGTAATTACTGAAGTATTTGGGGGCAAAAGGTCTTGTGTGCTCATGCATATGCCTAAGTTATTAGGTAGTTGGCGGGTACACTGATACGCTGTTATGAAGTCACCTGTAGTAAGCACCAGTGCCTGTTTCAGTTGCTTTTTGCGTTTGTGGATCTGTGAATGACCTGAGCTGTGCTTATGTGCCTCTGTCCATGCCAAAATGTGGCTCATGGATCTGTTTCTGTGCAATCCAAGGCATGGGGGGTTGCACATAAGGTACAGGTTTATT